ACAATATATGTATGTTATTCAGAAATACAGAAATAAAAGCCCAGAAGAAACATTTAAGAAGTTGAGGTGGTTTCTTTGAGCAGGGAGATTCCTGAGAAAAGGATTGGGCAGGGACCTTTACATTTTATTGCTTTTTTTAAGTTATGCACATGCAAACTTTGATTAAAATACAAATTAAATTTTTAAAAAACTGGCAAACTCAGAAAAAGATTCATACTGTCTCTGTCTTCACACACTACCTTCCTGGTCTCCTTTCTCCCCTTCTAGCTCCTTTCTTTTGGGGGTTTGTCTGGTATGGTTTTGTTATTTTCTTAGGAGAATGATTTTTTAGTTGCTATTTGCCTAAGTACAGATGTCACAAAACCCCTTTGTAAAGGTTGCTGGCAAATTGTCCTCTTCCCTTAGAGGAAGATATAGAACGGACATCCACACTAATACTGAAAATAATTGTCATATTTACAGCATTTTTGTATTTTATTTACATGTGCAGTTGTCTTATTTCCCTTTTTAGAGTTTCAATATCTTGAGAGCAAGGATTACCTTATTCGATTTGCATAGCCACAATAATAATAGAGTTCCTTGTACACTGTGGACATTCAGCATGGGATTTATTTAATTGAAGACACTGAGAAATAATCAAGAGTTTAGCAGGCATCTCATTGGGCTGCTTTTTAGATCAGGCACTCATATTCTTAAATAAGAAAAAATGTGATGGGTAAATTCACACCTAATGGATGCAGTACATGCTGTTTGGGGGATGGGCACACTTATAGCTCTGACTCTGGCGGTGCAAATGCAATTTATGGAACCAAAGAGTTTGTACCCCTGTCATACTCTGAAATAATTAGAAAAAGAAAAACGTGAAAGAGAGAAATAAAAATAACAGAAAAATGACTAATTTTAGAAAATACGATAAAGAGCAACAGGTTGAGGTTTTCTTTCACTTCACCATTCCCCCTTTTAAACCACTTGTTTCCATTCCAATAAAAAATGAATATGCCTTTACTGTGTACAATAAATTGGCTGTCCAGTTTACCCTTCTGGAATGTTTAAGCTTTCAGAATCATTGTAGATGATATAAGGGTGGGGGACAGATAGTCTATTTGGTAAGCACAAGAATATTTTGAACTCTTAGCAACAAAGAAACATAGGTGAGTAGAGCCAAAGATCCAAAGATCATTACTTAAATTTATATTACATATTTATTTGTAAATTAATTTGTCAGTTTCCCCATCAGAACTTAAGCTCAGTGAAGGTAATGTTCACTGATGCACATAAAATGTCCTTTCACTAGGTTAAGAAACCAACAGCACCTACGAGGAAAAGATTTCTCAGTAAGATTTCTCAACAGGAGTTTTCTATATGAAAATAACTGTATTTCCCAACAAACTATAATAATCCCAATTATACTTTGATCATTCTAGCTTTTCATAACTGCAATCCTAGGTCAGTATCTCAAGAGGACCACGGATAAGCTGCAGCTTGTCTGTGGAAAACAGAGCGACTAGAATAGCAGTGGGCCCATAATCAGGGCACGTAAGAAACAGTTGAAGAAAATAAAAAGAGATTTGGCTCATACAACTCCTCAGGACTCAAGAGGCCTTTATGATCTTTGGATAATTTTTTAAAAATTTTCCAATAATTAGAACTATCCAAAAAGTGCCAAACTCACTATCATTAGAAGAACCTATTCAGAAATTGACTAATGTTCTGCCAGCCGTTCTGTAAGTGTAATGCATTCCTAGGTTAGCCAAGACTGCTTGCTATCTTCAAGTATCAATTTCCTTCTTATTCATTATGGTAATAAAGGTCTTAGGTTTTAAATAGATACATGGATTTTCAGATAGAGAATCTATTTGCCAGCTTCTCTTGCAGCTAGGTGTGGACATGCAAAGCAGTTCTGACCAGTAGGATGTGAGTAGAACCAACATGGGGACCATTCAGGTGCAATCTTGAAGATAAAGCTCCTTACCCCTAGCTGGAAATGGCTGGTTGAAACAGTAGACAGAAGAAAATATGGAAATCACATGTTGAGAAGGGCCTTTAGAGAGTCAGTGAGTGGAAGAAATGGAGCTCCAAATTGTATCTTCTGACGCTCAGTCTGGTATATTTTCTACCAAATATTTTGCTATACATTGTTGAATTTTTTCAGTGAACAGAAATATTTTCACCATTTTTAATGCTCCCTTCTTGCTCTTTACTTGTAACTCACTGACTTCATCTATATGGTCTTTGGAAAAAAGAAACATAATTAAGGAAGTAATATATTTACAATGAGATATGAATTACGATTTCTTGAACATTAACTCCTCTTTAAGGTCAAATAATAAATAGAACTTGAAGAAAAGATAAGCCTGACCATGTTTCAAAAGTGCATTCTTTTCAAATTTTCTATAGGTTTGCATTAAATCACTTTTTAAAACACTGATGCTTAATGTTGAACAAGTATCTGTGGTTCACTAAGTGAGTGATGGAGATTTATAGGTGTATTTTGCATAGAGAATACTCAGCAGAGAGCACCAACTAACACTGAAAAGGATGATGAGACAGCATTCCATGTTGGGAAAGGAGAGCGAGAGAAAGCTTTAGGATAAATAGAAATCACCTTTGCATGTGACATGTGTAGGCACCAGCGAAGTGACTGAAGAAGATAGGCGAGTCAGGGGATAGCAGAAAATAAAGCTGGAAGCATAGACTAGGACCAGAAGATAAAAAAACCCTGAAGGTTGTCTCAGATGGGACTCAAGTGATAAGGAAAAGAAAACCCATTTTAGGTAGCCCTATAAGAGAAAGATATAACTAAAGAAGTGTTTCAAGAGAATTGTTCTGCCAACACTATGTAGGATGGATGGGAAAGAGACACAGCCTGGTGTGGGAGAAAAGGTCTTAGAGTTGGGGACAAAGAGATCACCACAGTGAGAGCCACTGAGAGAAAGGAAGGGGCAACAAAGTCAGTATTTCTTCATCCCAGGAAGGACACAAGTGAGACAGGCTTGTGCATAATACAGATAAAGAAAAGCCTATTTCTTTAGTTTGCTGACATTTGATTAAATTATCTGTGGATGTTTCTACCTAACACACATAACACCCAGAAAAACAGGTTTATGAAGAATTTCAGTCCATCATCTAAATTGGTAGGTATACAAAATACCTAGATGACGGTCAAGTCTTTCATTGAAAGGACTAAAGGGAACAGATGTTTTAAAATGGTGATTTCAGAGTTTTATCCAAAATTAGAAAAATCGTTTAGAATGTGTGACTTGTATTATGTATACAATTAAAGTCAGAATGAAACACTCAGTAAATTTTAACAGAAGATAATTACTCAAAGGATATAACATTTGATCTATTAGCTTTTGCTCGTTACTTAGAAAGAGGGTTATATAAATCATGGTTATTTGGCTGTTCAGGAGACTGAATACCTTGATTTCAAAATTAAAGATATTAATAAAAAGTAAAAGAAAAAATGTCATTTTAGGATACCAAAATATTAATTGATTGCAAATTTAGAAGAATTAATCTGAAACTGAAAGAATGCAACGTGCTGTGGCTGTCATTTAGGCTGTCTGCCCAGCTCTCAATAATCTTCCTGTGTACTGGGATATTTACCACCGTGCTCCTACCTGATGGAGTAGTCTCTAAAAGCCATTCTCATTTTATGTGAGCCTGACACCCCTGGCCACAGTGAACTGGCTTAGAGGAAGCCACCCAAATAAAACTGAGTCCATTAGAATTCCCTCATTGTAATTATAACCAAGAGGCAGCTAATAAGTCTCTGTGTTGTAGCTGGTAGTAGAATTTCTAAAGCAATTTAAGGGGAAATGGGGTGGCCATATAACCATGCAGAGAGGGAGAGAGAGGCAGAGCATGCTCTTCTGCTGAGAAAGAGACACAGAGAGAGAGAGAGAGAGAGAGAGAGAGAATATGAATGAGTATGTGTCACTGGGAACATCCTAGTCCCTGTGACCTGACTGCATAGGTCCTTGTCCCTAGGTTTTGTGGAACATTCAGTTATAATATAGTCCCTATTTACACTTAAACTAGTTCCAATTGTTTTTTAGTACTTATATAACGAAAAGAATTAATTAGTCACCAATTACTTCCTGTGTCTTTGATCTTACTTGTCACCCTGACCAATGTCAAGGGAAAGGAATGGCTCAGTTCTCCTAAGCTGGATTCTTTGCCATGAAGAACAGAACTGCTGTCCTACCCCTTCCCTGGCAAGCAAATCATGAATTTGTATCATTGCTCATTTTCACAGTCTCAGACAGCTCAGAGCTGATTTTGTTTGACAGGACAACCATTATTAACAGTACAGCTGTTAAACAATTGATAAATATTTATATTTATCATGGTATCAGGATAAATTCATTATAAAGAAAGTATATTATTTTAGTTAAAGTCATATAAAGGCAAGGAGGGAGCCACAGATACAGTCCCTCAGTTGAGAAATAGATGGAAAGACAAGTTTGTGTAAAGTGAGATTAAACAGTAGCCTATTTTATTAACTTGATGGCATTCAAAAATAATTCTAGATGTTTCTATACAATGACAGACCTATACCCTCTTCAATAAAAATATTTGGCCAACTTTATTTAGAAAATTTGGTTCATCATCTGAACATCTGGCACTGTACAGATAACCAACTCAAATTTTCCTTTTCTGGAAAATGAAAATTGTTCTTGCTTTTTTTAATTTGATTTTTTTTTTTCAATTGTTAAAAGAGGATTTCCTTCAAGTTGAGAAATGAAGTCTCAATTAAGAAATAAGTTCAATTGGCTGGAGTTCATCTAAAGTATCTCCCCTAAAATAGCAACACAATATGTCAGATAATTTTGGACAAGTTAACAGTTATATGTATGTTGGACGATGATATAAATATGATAATGATGTTGGAGATAAATTTTTTAGAAGCCACAAACCAGAAACAGGGAGAAATCATCTGTTACGGGATAACAAAAAAGCCATTGTGCACTGAAAATGTCACTCGTTTCTCTTACCTGGTTGACACTGATTACACCTTCTTCCTTGACGATTAGGCAAGCATAGGCACTGGCCACTGACTGGGTCACAAATACTCCCAGGTAATGTCCCCAAGGAGTCACACTCACACGTGTGGCAGCCACGAAAATTGTCAATGGTCAAATTGTACCTGTGAGGCTCACACTGATTGCAGCGAAGACCTGTTACCCCAAATTTGCAAGGACACTGTCCTGTTGATTTGTCACACAGCAGAGAGCCATTTATAGTTCCAGTCTTATCACAGTTACAAGGCAGACAGAGGAAAGAATTATTTTGCTGTAGATAGAAGTTTCCTTCCAAACATTCGTTGCACTGTCTTCCTCCAACATTGAGCTTACAGACGCACTGCCCCGTTTTAGGATCACAGACAGTCTCAGAGACGGATCCAGCTGTGTCGCAATCACAGGCCTTACAACCAGTGATGTCCAACCCGTAAAAGTTTTCTCGGCAGGTGTCACACTGAAGTCCTTTGGCTTCTCTTTTGCACTCACACTGCCCAGAAAAAGGATTGCAGACTTTGTTCACTGAGCCATGGAGGTTACACTGGCAGGGCTCACATCCATCATCATTAAAACTTTGGAGAAATTTAAATCCAAAATTGCAATGATCACACCTAAGCCCTAAAGATAAAATATGTTTAAAAGGTGAAGATGGTAAAATGATTCCATTCAAAATAGCTGAAACACAAACAATGCTGCTGCAGACATTTAATGCAGACACAGATTATTGAGTGTTTTCTCACAAGCGACATCATAGAGAGGTAATTGAATATTTAAAATACCATGGCAATCCTTAATTTAGCTCTCATATACAACTGTTTGCAATGTGCTTTATAAAATTGTAATGATTTATTACTTAATGCAAAGAAAAATGTTTCATGCAAATGTTGCTTCTGTTACATATACTCGAGCCCTTTTCCTCTTTAACAAATACTAAAACTATTTTGAGAAATATGTTCATTTTAAAAGTATAGTAGAATTACATATACCACATTAGCTGTTTCCCTAGAAATAAGAATTCTTTAAAAATGTTTAATAAAATATTAAGCTGGGTATAAAGTTTTAGTCAGACAGGCTGAATAAGTTCTGGAAATGTATTGTATACCATGGTGACTATAGTTAATGTCTTATATACTTGAAAATTGTTGAGAGATTAGATCTTAAATAGTCTCACCACAAAAACATAAGTATGTGAGGTGATGGATATGCTAATTAACTTGAATTAATCATTTCATAATGTGTACATATATCAAAACATCATATTGTACACTGTATATATATATAATTTTTGTTTAATTGTACCTTAGTAAAGCTGGGGAAAAGGAAAAAAAAAAGATTAAGCTGATAACTATTTTTCTGACAATAGCATACACATTTATTCTGAATATCACACACGTAAATAATTAATATAAATAAAACTTATCCAGAGCAATTTTTATTTTAATCCTTCTGCATGCCCCTATATTTTATCATTTTCAATTAATATAAATTATGCTCTCCTTGGCTCATAAAGCAATCACACTGCTTGTCATCTTATGTGATTCAGAACATACCTCTTAAAACACTAAGTAAATTCTGTTCTTTCTATTACTTCTATTTAAAGGAGTACACATATACATTTTACAAAAGGAGAAAAATGTTTTATCGCCTAAACTTAAATCTCTGACAATTTAGGTTAGTCTCAAAAAGGCTATTAGAAGGCAAAGGAATAAAAAAAAATAGAATAGTGAATATTTAGATGCAAAATATTTCCTTTAGGTAGTTTTCACATATCCATGCATTTAAATAACTACTGTGTGAGCTTGCGTCACCTGAAACACTTATTTCAAGCTATAACAGCAATTAAAAAATTAGTCCTAAAATAAGAGTCAAAAACAGACTCAGGAACGCATATGTAAAAAAGCATTTCCTAAACTGGAAGGAAATGCATGATATGTATGTATATATATGGATAAAAATTCAAGAATTCCAATGGAAGGCAAGTTCTTTAACAGTGATGAATGACTCACCTAAGGCATATCATTTAATTTCAATAAGGAAAATAAAAAAGGACCACTATTGCTGCAAATTTTAAAAATAACTGTATTGTTAACAAGAATTATGACTCATTTTGAACTATTAAAATTGGTCTACATGGATTCATATCATATCAGTTTTAAAAATATGCGCAGTGCTTATTTGAATATGCCATACATATTCCTGACAGGTAATCTATTCCTAACGATACTCAGGAAGGCCTACAGGGCATCACATTCGGTGTTAACAAGTACAGGCGAGTTAGCACACTTGGCATTTAATTCACATTCTTCTCTCTTTTTATTCTAGATGAATGACCTACTTTAATAAAATTATTGGTGCTAATGTATTTTACTGGTGATAGAATCATTAGTAAGATTTAACAGTTTTGTTAACTCTAACAGTTTGCTTTGTGAAGCATATACAACATACACTTGTATTTGCTAGGCTTTTGTTTTCATATTAACAAGGTAAAATTGAATAAGGGTACTTGCTAATCCCATTAAGAAAATAAATTTATATAGACCTCAAGTTTATATTTTTATTGAAAGTATTCCATGAGCAGAAATAAGTCTAGAAATAATAATTATTTATAATAATACTAAAATGATTTAGTCTTCACAAAACATATATTTTCCTACAGTAAACTATCTGGATCAACCAGTAAAACAGGTAAATGGCAGGGAGGTCATAACACATTCTAAGTAAATTTTGGTTTTTTTTTTTTACTTTGCTCAAGCTCTGGACTCTAACCCTCAAAGGAAAGATTCCACTAATATAGAAAAGTAAACATTTCACTATCTTTAAAGGCCTTGCTTCAACTTTTGTTTTCACATCCTGAATTTAAAATATATCTCACATCAAAGAACAAAGGATGCCATATAGATTGAATTCACAGGTCTTAGAATTCATTCTGCATCACAGATAACAAATACAAAGATGTGCTTCTCTTTATGAGTTATTCTTTCCTTCCAAAAAAAATAGCTTTTATACGCTTGATATACATAAAGGTAAGTTATGTTATAGATTTTGATGTAATCTTTCTTTACACCAGAGAAATTTTATGTAATATCATTATGTACATCCATATTCTTTTTTATTAAATTATACTGAAATGTCTACCTAACTTAATTGCATGACATAATACATGCATATCATCCACAGGTATAAATGACAAACTATTAGATTTACAGTTGTAACACAGAAATGAAAATAGTGTTTAGAATGATATGCACGTGTGTGTGTGCATGTGTGCACGTGTGTGTGTGTGTGTGTGTGTGTGTGTGTGTGTGTGTGTGTGTGTGGGTGTGTGTGTGTGTTATCACTGCCAGGCATTTTTTTTATTATTGTAAGGTTCAGGTCAGTGTTAGAAAACCCATGGATGACTTGGTGTCTTGAATGACAATAGAAAGGCAAAGGTCTTTTTTAAACTTCTTATATGAACCAAGACATGTTCAGTTATAATACAGGACTCACTTCATCAGGAAACTTTCCTCTCATAATATTCTCATATATCAAAATTTCAAAGTGCATTATGTACATAGTGCATTTTGGGCACTTGATAAATTTTGTCCTTATGTGGCGGTTGTTCCCCTCAAAAATGTTGGATGTAATAAATTGCTATAATCAAATCTAATTTCTGAAAAATACCTGTGGGAGTAACAAACAAAAAAGCACGTCTTGTATAAAAAAATGATAAATAACACTGAAGGTAGCTGTTTATTATAATTAGCTTGGTGCTGAATTACAAAATTAAAATTATGTAGCCCTTTATAACTAACCCTAGCAATATATATGATCTGTGGAATTATGTTGACTTATTTTGCATTTCATAGGAACAGTTCAAAGAAATATAATAGAAACATGGAAAGATTTATCACAAAGGACCCTGTAGCAGAGAATATTTTGAAAAAATCCATTTATTTTGGTCTATTAAGAAAACTAGCATGGAAATGATTTGCTTAGAACTCATTAAGTGTAAAACATTTTGAAAAAGTGTTAATTTTCTAAAAGAAACATCTATGCAGTAAGCAAATTATATTTTTCTATGACTTATTAGCATGGGCCCATGTGAACTAACGCATCTACAGAATAAAGAAACTTCTAAAGGGTTGATTAAACTAAGCTTCAAGCTGTAGTTTGATAGAATTATTAATTTAATCATTTTTAGACAGTTAATTTCATCCAAATTGTTTTTTTTTCCAGCCTGCCTTGAGCAAGGAAATTTGCTTTACTCTTCAGTTAAGAAATCAAATAGAGAATTTTATTCCAGATGGTAATAGAGATGTGACCATAAACTTTTGCATTACACATACCAATAACATTTGCTTTGCACTTGCACTGGCCTGAATTTTGGTGACAGGTAATATCTCCATCCACTGTCCCAGAGGTATTGCAGTTACAGGGACGGCAGCCATCAGGATCCAACTCTCGTAGATTGTAGAATCCATTCTGGCACTGATTGCACTGTCTGCCAGACACATGTCTCTTACAATTACACTGGCCTCCAATCTAGAGAAGATACAACATTTTGTAGAATGATGAACGCATCTATTTTTAGATAATTTGCTCATTAGGTACAAGACAGGGAGGGAGGGAGAAAAAAACTTTAAATGTTCAACAGACAAGAATGTAATAAGGTATTTTTCCTCCTGACACAAAACATGGGAGGCTTCAGCAGGGTGAATTTATAAAACTGAATGAAAATAAACCCCCTCGAAGTGACTGGTATATGACTGAAAGGAAAACAGGGAATTAACCATTAAGTACAATATAAAAAAGTCAAACTATAGACATGTAGCAACTGAAAATAAAAAAGCACCAGCAGTTAATTTAGTCCTTACAACTCCACCTCTCTGTTTCTTTCCTCTCATTTACTCTTTTGTTGATCCGAACTTGTTTTATACACGCAGATGTTTAAATTAAGGAAGAATATTTCTATAATATTATCCTATCAATGTTTTAACAATGTTCAAAGTTTTCTGTTAAGAGCATCTATTTATCCCTACTGGTACTGACTCTAGCACTGTTTTTTAACACAACTCTCCTAAATAGGCTGAATATTTCAGCCTGTTTAGGGTTCATTTCACCACATCAAGTATATTTAGCTGATTTATATTGTGGTAAAACAAAATGCAAAAATTTTACTTGTTCGAAAGCATTTTAAAGCAAAATCACAGCTAAAACACTCAGTATTTGTTCTGCTCAAGCTGCTGTTTTGAGAAGAATGAAAATACATAAAATATATGATGCTCATATACTATATGCATAGATAATAACTATGTTGATTAAAGAAAGATAAGAACTGAAACTCCTCATAAGTAAACATATGTATATAAAATGGGAAATAAATATGAGAAATTTGATAATAACCAGGACTTTGACACAGAGCTGTCGATACAGACATCAGATCTCTTTCATAGTCACTGACATTTCTCCCCCAGTTTCCTTTCAGTTGGCCCGAATCCAGCCCTTCACATTTAGAGGCAGGGCTCTCACAGAGAAAAGTAACCTCCATGGGAAAAGACGTAGTTTGATTTCCATTTAATTTCAAGGATATGAAAAAAATATGACAAGGTTGGGATTTAGTTACAAAGATATAGGGAAGGGCTTTCAAATTAAAGAATTTGCAAAAGCCTATCACTGCCTCATTTTTCCTCATCTGAGAAATAGGGACTCACTGGGATCTTTAAGGATACAATAAGGCAATTGATACGAAAATATCTAAGAGTCTGAAAAACATAGGATTACACACACACCAATATCGAAGACACATAAAGGTGTAGAAACATGAGTGAGGACTATGCATTGCTCCCTTGTGCTTGACTGTTTCTTGCCCCCATGCCCAGCTAGCCCCAAGGGAACCAGATCATTACACACAACAGGGATTTGATTCAGCCTACGAAAACAAATGGCATTTATTGGTGGATATATGTTACTTACAGCCATGAAAATGTAATAGGCCTCTGATTACTTTTAACACTTCAAGTACATCACCCAATAATTTAGGCCTTTTTGCTGGTGCTTCACAAGCATCAGTCCTGTTCTTCAAACACATGGCAGGCATCTTTGGGGACTGGACATATATTATGTTTCTATCAAAGAATAATCTTATACATTCCCTACATGTGAAGAGTAGTTTTTCAAAGATCAAGAGCAAAAAAGAGTGACAAACATAAAGAGAAATAAAAGTGCCAAAACTTTATCTTTTATATTATTTTGTTATATTCTTATTTAAATGTAATACATGATCAACTGGAGCTTCCATGATTTGGGGGATCTAGATAAGACACCCTGTAACCCTAATTCCATTTCTGTTGAATAAGAAAACTGCTCCTTTAGTTTATAAGAATTCTCTATGTATTGATTGTTTCATCGTCACTCTGACCCCAAATTTCTTCTTCTTCCATTTTGGAATCTTCTTGCCTCCTAAGAGCACAGCCCTGCATCACTCAGAGGTGAAACTTGGCTAATGCCTCAATTTCAAAAAGAGGAACTCTTGTTCAAAAAAAAAAAAAAAAGTGGGGAGGGGAGGGAATGTAATTATTAAACTTTACTAATGATTGGAGATAAAAGAGAAGTGAAAGGTTTACTTTGCAATTCATAATATCCCTTTAGTTTTCCTATAACTAGAGATTTTCATGGGCTTCTGCACTCCAATTACCTACCACCTCTGTGACTTCTGGCTCCCTCTTCTTTGCTCTGCCCTGAAGGTCTACTTTTCTCTATACGCCTGACTCTCAGCAACTTTTTCACACAGAACATCTCAAAAGTATATATTATTACCTTAATTCCTGCCAATACCTAAGCCTTATCAAGGTATTTTCATCAATATGAGCAATTCTCTTCATATGAACAACTCTGCCACAAATTTAAAAAGATAACAATTTTACTGCTTTTTCATTAATTTGAAAGTCTGTATGGCACATATTGATTATAATTTCTCTATATTAGTTATATCTTAAAATGTAGTTTAAAAATAAAATAAGGCATTATCATTTTATAAAACATTAACTTTAGTCGATTTCTCAAAATTCACCTGAAAATTCTGTGTAACTCAGCTATAGATTCTCTTTTGTTAATGTGAGAAAATGCAAATCTCCTCATACTCTGAGGCCAATTCTTGTCAAGCAAGCAGTAAAAACAGAGAAGGGCATTTCCTCTCCCTTTAGAAAAAGACTTCCAAAAAGTCAAACACAACGTTTTTCTATTTCTATGCTCTTTGGTAGAATCCTTCCACTCTAACTGTAGGCTGACCTATTGATTTTCTTTGGCCAAGTATTAGCAAACCTAATGCAGGCAGAGGCTTGAAAATGTAGAGTTCATTCTCTCTTGCTGGGCTTGAAACTCTCAGATCACCTTGTGAACAAGCCTGTGCTATCCTGTTGGAAGATTACAGGACACGTGGAAGAGAATCACGGTGCTCCAGCTGATAGTTGCTCCTATCACCCCAGTGAACAGCCTGCTTGCCAACCACCAGATAGGTAAGCGAGGCCATCCTAGGTCATCTAACTACCACCTGACCCAGCTAGCTAACCAAGACAAACAAGAGAGTCCCGAAGAGGTCAGACAAGCCAGTGCAGACTGGCACTGAGCCAGACCATAGTTTTATGAACTAAATAAGCAGTTTTAATTGTTTTAAGCCACTAAGTTAAGTAGCAAAACTTAATAGACACAATGCCATTGATCAGAACTGAAATCACATTTCTATACTTAGCTGCCGATGAAGCTAAGAAATGTCACTTATTCTCTATGATCATGTGGTCACCTAATATTGATATTTCTATTACTAATGTAGAAGAAAAAAAACAGTACAATTACTGTCTCTCATAATAAGCAAATATATATTCACACTTCAAGCCATAGAGATTCTCCCTTTTATCAAGGCTTAAAACATAATCTTGGTCTTGTAAGTTTTGGTCTTGCCTGAATCACAATGTTGGTCTTACATGCTTTTAGCCACCTGAGCAAAGAGGAAAAAAGCATCCTCCCTATGAGCTCTATCCAGATACCCAGAAATAACTTTTCATTAGCCTGGATTGGGTCTTATCTCTTTTTTTTCTAGTTTCATAAAGTGGAAGATCTTTCTTTGAACTTTTTCTTCTAATATAGGCAGTGGTATTCCATAATTTTGTTAGGTTGTGCTTTCAATTTCTTTCTGTTTAGAATGCTTTCTAATTTCTGTTTTGATTTCCTCTTTGATCCTTGGATTATTTAGTATTATGTCGCTGAGTTTCCAAATATTTAGGGATATTCCAAGAGATTATTTTGTGATTGATTTTTAACTTAATGATAGCCAGATAATATATTTTATATGACTTGAATCTATCCAGGTTTGTTTTATGGCCCAGAGTTTGGTCTATATTGGAAGATGTTTTTTGTAGAACTGAAAAGTAGCTAATGTCTGCTGTTGTTGGGTTAAGTGCTCTATAAATGTCAATCAGGTTGAGTTGGTTGACAATGTTTTTCCAATCTATATACTTATTGATTTCCTATCAGTTTGTTCTATTAAATATTGAGAGAAGCGTATTGAAATTTTTGCCTATCACTGCAGATTTTTTTCATTTTTCCTTTAGTTATATCAGTTTTTGCTTTGTATATTTGAACCTCTGTTGTTGGTACATAAATATGAAGAATTGTTATATCCTACTGATAGAATGACTCCTTTTGCAATATGAGATTACTTTCTTTGTCCTGGGTCATATTTTTACTCTAAAAAATCTGTATTTTCTGATATTAATAAAGTCACATCAGCTTTCTTATGATTAGTGTTTACATAAGTCTTCTACCAACCTTTACTTCTAACCTATTTGTCTTATTCTTGAAATGTATTTCCTATATGCAGCACATAGTCTATTTGTAGGCTTTTACTTTTTTAAACAATCTTCCAATCTCTGACTTGTAAGTGGAGTATTTAGAACATGTAAATTTAGCATGATTATTGATATGGCTAGGTTTAAATCTACCATCTCCATATTTTCTATTTGTCCCATCTGTTATGAGTTCTTTATTTGACTTTTAGGATGGGTTTATCATTGGAAATGAAAAAATTAAATCTTTACACAGTTCATTTAAAAATAAAAATAGTAAACAATGCATTTTGAGGTTAAATTTAACAATTCCTGAGTGTTTCGTTTATTCACTATTTTATATACCTTGGCTAACACAGTGCCTGGCACACAGTAGCATCCCCATAATGTTTTTTCTAGTAATTGAATGAATTACTTCGAATTTATTGTTAAATAAAACACTGAAATATGTTTAGGAGACATTATCAAACATATATGTTATAGACATCACAATTTCTACTCACTTTTTGCAGAGTTAGTTATGGCTCCTTGAATAGCCTTTTAGAGAATATTTACCCCAAATTCTTCTCCATTCAAGTAAAAAAAAAAAAAAATACTACACGTTCGTGATTTCTTAAATTTTTGACTTAATCAAACATACATGCCCCGTTTAAATACCAAAACAAAGTTCGAATATACAAATCTACATTCAACATACGTATA